CCACTCCAGCCCTGAGCCAGCCACTCCAGCCCTGAGCCAGCCATCTCCAGCCCTGAGCCAGCCACTCCAGTCCTGAGCCAGCCATCTCCAGTCCTGAGCCAGCCACTCCAGTCCTGAGCCAGCCACTCTAGCCCTGAGCCAGCCATCTCTAGCCCTGAGCCAGCCATCTCTAGCCCTGAGCCAGCCACTCCAGCCCTGAGCCAGCCACTCCAGTCCTGAGCCAGCCATCTCCAGTCCTGAGCCAGCCACTCCAGCCCTGAGCCAGCCACTCCAGCCCTGAGCCAGCCACTCTAGTCCTGAGTCAGCCACTCCAGCCCTGAGCCAGCCACTCCAGCCCTGAGCCAGCCACTCCAGCCCTGAGCCAGCCATCTCTAGCCCTGAGCCAGCCATCTCTAGCCCTGAGCCAGCCACTCCAGCCCTGAGCCAGCCACTCCAGCCCTGAGCCAGCCACTCCAGTCCTGAGCCAGCCATCTCCAGTCCTGAGCCAGCCACTCCAGCCCTGAGCCAGCCACTCCAGCCCTGAGCCAGCCATCTCCAGTCCTGAGCCAGCCATCTCCAGTCCTGAGCCAGCCACTCTAGTCCTGAGCCAGCCACTCCAGTCCTGAGCCAGCCATCTCCAGCCCTGAGCCAGCCACTCTAGTCCTGAGCCAGCCACTCCAGCCCTGAGCCAGCCACTCTAGTCCTGAGCCAGCCACTCCAGCCCTGAGCCAGATATCTCTAGCCCTGAGCCAGCCACTCCAGCCCTGAGCCAGCCACTCCAGCCCTGAGCCAGCCATCTCCAGCCCTGAGCCAGCCACTCCAGCCCTGAGCCAGCCACTCCAGCCCTGAGCCAGACACTCCAGCCCTGAGCCAGCCACTCCAGCCCTGAGCCAGCCATCTCCAGCCCTGAGCCAGCCACTCCAGCCCTGAGCCAGCCACTCCAGCCCTGAGCCAGCCACTCCAGTCCTGAGCCAGCCACTCCAGCCCTGAGCCAGCCACTCCAGCCCTGAGCCAGCCACTCCAGCCCTGAGCCAGCCACTCTAGCCCTGAGCCAGCCATCTCCAGCCCTGAGCCAGCCACTCCAGCCCTGAGCCAGCCACTCTAGCCCTGAGCCAGCCACTCCAGCCCCGAGCCAGCCACTCCAGCCCTGAGCCAGCCACTCCAGCCCTGAGCCAGACATCTCCAGCCCTGAGCCAGCCACTCTAGTCCTGAGTCAGCCACTCCAGCCCTGAGCCAGCCACTCCAGCCTTGAGCCAGCCACTCCAGCCCTGAGCCAGCCACTCCAGCCCTGAGCCAGCCACTCCAGCCCTGATCCAGCCACTCCAGCCTTGAGCCAGCCACTGCAGCCCTGAGCCAGCCATCTCCAGCCCTGAGCCAGCCACTCCAGCCCTGAGCCAGCCACTCCAGCCCTGAGCCAGCCACTCTAGTTCTGAGTCAGCCACTCCAGCCCTGAGCCAGCCACTCCAGCCCTGAGCCAGCCACTCTAGCCCTGAGCCAGCCACTCCAGCCCTGAGCCAGCCACTCCAGTCCTGAGCCAGCCACTCCAGCCCTGAGCCAGCCACTCCAGCCCTGAGCCAGCCACTCCAGCCCTGAGCCAGCCACTCCAGCCCTGAGCCAGCCACTCCAGCCCTGAGCCAGCCACTCCAGCCCTGAGCCAGCCATCTCTAGCCGGGAGCCAGCCATCTCCAGCCCTGAGCCAGCCACTCCAGCCCTGAGCCAGCCACTCTAGCCCTGAGCCAGCCACTCCAGCCCTGCGCCAGCCACTCTAGCCCTGAGCCAGCCACTCCAGCCCTGAGCCAGCCATCTCCAGCCCTGAGCCAGCCACTCCAGCCCTGAGCCAGCCACTCCAGCCCTGAGCCAGCCACTCTAGCCCTGAGCCAGCCACTCTAGCCCTGAGCCAGCCACTCTAGCCCTGAGCCAGCCATCTCCAGCCCTGAGCCAGCCACTCCAGCCCTGAGCCAGCCACTCCAGCCCTGAGCCAGCCACTCCAGCCCTGAGCCAGCCATCTCCAGCCCTGAGCCAGCCACTCCAGCCTTGAGCCAGCCACACCAGCCCTGAGCCAGCCACTCCAGCCCTGAGCCAGCCATCTCCAGCCCTGAGCCAGCCATCTCCAGCCCTGAGCCAGCCACTCCAGCCCTGAGCCAGCCACACCAGCCCTGAGCCAGCCACTCCAGCCCTGAGCCAGCCATCTCCAGCCCTGAGCCAGCCATCTCCAGCCCTGAGCCAGCCACTCCAGCCCTGAGCCAGCCACTCCAGCCCTGAGCCAGCTACTCCAGTCCTGAGCCAGCCACTCCAGCCCTGAGCCAGCCACTCCAGCCCTGAGCCAGCCACTCTAGCCCTGAGCCAGCCACTCTAGCCCTGAGCCAGCCATCTCCAGCCCTGAGCCAGCCATCTCCAGCCCTGAGCCAGCCACTCTAGTCCTGAGCCAGCCACTCCAGCCCTGAGCCAGACATCTCTAGCCCTGAGCCAGCCACTCTAGTCCTGAGCCAGCCACTCCAGTCCTGAGCCAGCCATCTCCAGCCCTGAGCCAGCCACTCTAGTCCTGAGCCAGCCACTCCAGCCCTCAGCCAGCCACTCTAGTCCTGAGCCAGCCACTCCAGCCCTGAGCCAGACATCTCTAGCCCTGAGCCAGCCACTCCAGCCCTGAGTCAGCCACTCCAGCCCTGAGCCAGCCATCTCCAGCCCTGAGCCAGCCACTCCAGCCCTGAGCCAGCCACTCCAGCCTTGAGCCAGCCACTCCAGCCCTGAGCCAGCCACTCTAGCCCTGAGCCAGCCACTCCAGCCCTTAGCCAGCCACTCCAGCCTTGAGCCAGCCACTCCAGCCCTGAGCCAGCCACTCTAGCCCTGAGCCAGCCATCTCCAGCCCTGAGCCAGCCATCTCCAGCCCTGAGCCAGCCACTCCAGCCCTGAGCCAGCCACTCTAGCCCTGAGCCAGCCACTCTAGCCCTGAGCCAGCCACTCCAGCCCTGAGCCAGCCATTTCCAGCCCTGAGCCAGCCACTCCAGCCCTGAGCCAGCCACTCCAGCCCTGAACCAGCCACTCTAGCCCTGAGCCAGCCACTCTAGCCCTGAGCCAGCCATTTCCAGCCCTGAGCCAGCCACTCCAGCCCTGAGCCAGCCACTCCAGCCCTGAGCCAGCCACTCTAGCCCTGAGCCAGCCCAGCCTGCCACTCCAGCCCTGAGCCAGCCACTCCAGCCCTGAGCCAGCCATCTCCAGCCCTGAGCCAGCCACTCCAGCCCTGAGCCAGCCACTCCAGCCCTGAGCCAGCCACTCCAGTCCTGAGCCAGCCACTCCAGCCCTGAGCCAGCCACTCCAGCCCTGAGCCAGCCACTCTAGCCCTGAGCCAGCCATCTCCAGCCCTGAGCCAGCCACTCCAGCCCTGAGCCAGCCACTCTAGCCCTGAGCCAGCCACTCCAGCCCCGAGCCAGCCACTCTAGCCCTGAGCCAGCCACTCCAGCCCTGATCCAGCCACTCCAGCCCTGAGCCAGCCACTCCAGCCCTGAGCCAGCCACTCCAGCCCTGAGCCAGCCACTCTAGCCCTGAGCCAGCCATCTCCAGCCCTGAGCCAGCCACTCTAGCCCTGAGCCAGCCACTCCAGCCCTGAGCCAGCCACTCCAGCCCTGAGCCAGCCATCTCCAGCCCTGAGCCAGCCACTCTAACCCTGAGCCAGCCACTCCAGCCCTGAGCCAGCCACTCCAGCCCTGAGCCAGCCATCTCCAGCCCTGAGCCAGCCACTCCAGCCCTGAGCCAGCCACTCTAGCCCTGAGCCAGCCACTCCAGCCCTGAGCCAGCCACTCTAGCCCTGAGCCAGCCATCTCCAGCCCTGAGCCAGCCACTCCAGCCCTGAGCCAGCCACTCCAGCCCTGAGCCAGCCCACTCCAGCCCTGAGCCAGCCACTCCAGCCCTGAGCCAGCCACTCCAGCCCTGAGCCAGCCACTCCAGCCCTGAGCCAGCCACTCCAGCCCTGAGCCAGCCACTCCAGCCCTGAGCCAGCCACTCCAGCCCTGAGCCAGCCACTCCAGCCCTGAGCCAGCCACTCCAGCCCTGAGCCAGCCACTCCAGCCCTGAGCCAGACATCTCCAGCCCTGAGCCAGCCACTCTAGCCCTGAGCCAGCCACTCCAGCCCTGAGCCAGCCACTCCAGCCCTGAGCCAGCCACTCCAGCCCTGAGCCAGACATCTCCAGCCCTGAGCCAGCCATCTCCAGCCCTGAGCCAGCCACTCCAGCCCTGAGCCAGCCACTCCAGCCCTGACCCAGACATCTCCAGCCCTGAGCCAGCCACTCCAGCCCTGAGCCAGCCACTCCAGCCCTGAGCCAGCCACTCCAGCCCTGAGCCAGCCACTCCAGCCCTGAGCCAGCCACTCCAGCCCTGATACCTTTTTTTCCAGCAGTGTCCTGCTAAGGAGGTGGCCATTGCTTTGCGATTCTAAGTTAAGTAATTTGAGATTTAATAAGTATAACCCGTAAAACAAAGTTTTTCACTCTAAATCCTTTATATGCGTGGCGGCTAGAGTCCTCTCGTCCTCTGGCTTGAGATGGCTGCCACCTATGGGTCAGATGATTGCCTGCCAGTATTAAGCAATTGGTAATTAAATACTTAATTTGTTTTCCCTAAACAGTGTAACATTTTGGAAAAATGTTTTCACGAACATTAATTGTCTCGCACAACGAGTCTGTGTGGAAAATGTCAGCTCGATTGGATCACGGGAAGTGGGTTAAAAAACGACCGAAAGATTTGCACGGTCGTAAGCAAGCACGCAAGCAAGCAAGCAAGCGAACTTAATATAAAGGATTTAAAAATAAACTAATTTCAAAATTTTTAAATATTTAAACCACGACACAACGTCGAAAAGTCTTTATGGTCCGCTGCGAAGCAGATGAAATTAAATCGTAGAGTTAATACACCTGCAGTATTAACCAGAATGGTATTGCAACAAGCCGCAAGATATGCAATCGCTCAGCAATGTCACTGCCCCAAATGTAAACAACTCTAAGCAAATATAGTAAAGATTCATACAAATATGATGAGTTACACCCATGCAGCTCACCGGTGACTCTTCTACGCCCATGAAATCTAGCCCCGATCACCAGCTTTATAAAGCCCACTTGGATACCAGTGTTTGTAAATCAGTCACAATGAGTCCTCTCGTGCAGAGCATCCTCGCCATGGCATTCTCCCTTCTGCTGCCCGGGAAAGTCTACTCGGACAGCACGGGGCTTCTGGCCGTGGGCTCATCACTGAACTCCAGCTCTGTGGCCATGTTCCAGAACCAAATGGATCCTCGCCAGGTCTCGGCCAGAGGTAAGAGATGGGAAGAGTGCCCCGTGTTAAGAGGGCTAAACTCAAGATCGTCAGCATTTGCAAGTTGAAGTAAAATGCCCATCGGAAATATAGTCCGCCCATTGTTCATCTGGGCAGTGGTTGCCCTTTAAAGTGACTGGCCCTTGCCACGGGGAGGTGGAATTTCTACCACTGGCTTCGAGGCTGCCTAACAAATATTAGTATTGACCTATGCTCATTTTTTACGGAAATGCATTTAACTACGACGTTGACACACTAGCAAGGTTCCTCGTTAAAATGGCATGCTTTAATGCCCGGCCATGGGAGTCTAACGCTCGCTGTCTTCTCAGTGGTGACGCGAATGTGTTGCGAGCAATCCACTCTGCGCTTTATCATCTCCAATAAAATAATGTGGTTTAACCATAATAGTGAATATAAATGCGTCGTTAAACCCGCCACTAACCCGACACAGCCAATTAGTAAGGTTTGTGACGTCAACGAAACATGCCCAATTCGTTCCTAGTCCAGCAAACTGCTGTGTTGGAGAGTAAACACACAACATTTACAATTCGAGTACGACGTTTCACCGGTAATTACAACCAGCATCATCAGGCGAAAGCGAGAGTTGGCGGGTGTAATGACACATTTATATTCATACCATCTAACCCAAAAAATACTCTATCCTGGATAATATCTATCACGAAAGCCTACATGTTTAACTGAATGTGGGTTACATCTTCTTGGTTCTTTCGGTAAAGCCACGTAGAATGGAAATAATAAAAGAATAAAAATAAAACATAATAAAATAATTCTCACGACGTTTCGGCCACAACGCAAGCAGCCGTCCTCAGGCGAAGAACAGGTCTGTCGATAAGACAGAGTCTGAAATGACTTTACCGAAAGAACCAAGAAGATCGAGATAGTATGTGTGAGAGTGTTTATTCAAATATGTGGCTGTAATGGGGTTATATCATGGGCTGTATGGGGGGGGGGGGGGGCTGCACTGTGGCTATTCATGTGCGGTAAGTGTAACGTTTGATATTTGATTACTTTCTTTTAAAATTTAACAGTAATTATGTATTTCTTACGTGAAAAAAGTAGTTCCAGTGGAACAATTTTCGGGCTGAAACGTTACTCGGATCTCAACACGGGAGGAGTCAATGTGAAAACTACGATCGTTTAACGAGTTTTCGCTCAACCGAGTACTTTTCGCGGGACGTATCTCACTCGTTAAGCGAGATACGCCTGTATAAGTAACAAAGACACATGGTCACTTCATCTCCCACTCCCGCCCGCTCCCCCCCCCCCCTCTGTAGCCGTTTCATCGTGTTACACGTGCACCGGAGGATCGTGCAAGGTTGAGAAAACATGCACCGAGGTTCCCGACGTAAGTTGCTTCACTGGATCATGAGGTCGCCAGGCCATCAGGCCACGTTCAATTGGAACTTACGCATGTCATCTTCTTGGTTCTTTCGGTAAAGTCACGTAGAAGGGAAATAATAAAATAATAAAAATGAAACATAATAAAATACAATTCTCACGACGTTTCGGCCACAACGCAAGCAGCCGTCCTCAGGTGGAGAACAGGTCTGTCCTGGTCGGTCTGTCCTGGTCTTCACCTGAGGACGGCTGCTTGCGTTGTGGCCGAAACGTCGTGAGAATTGTATTATTATTATGTTTTATTTTTATTATTTTATTATTTCCCTTCTACGTGACTTTACCGAAAGAAGCAAGAAGATGAATCCCTGCTGTCACGAAAGCTTTAAATCGAAATTTACGCATGTCAGTCAGTCTGTTCTCCGATAACGCGTGTTTTCATAGCGCGAATTGGATGTAACGTGAATGAATGTATAAGGGAACAATTTTTTGTTATAATGCGGATGCCAATTGGAAATAATGCTACCCACGTGCCTCGGTCTTTGTTTGACCTGAATACGCATCTCACGTGTTTCTCGCAGAATGTGAACTATCGATACACATGCAACGATCAAAGTCACTGTGTGCTCTGCTTTCTACCGTGCGTTTTCTCACCGAATCTGACCTCGAGAAGTATTACTGCCCCCACCACCTACTCCAGTGTTCTTCACACATTTTTAGAGGAGGGACATTTTCGCCGATTGGACATCATCAGTGTGAGGGCAGCCACGCCGCCTACAAGGGGTTGTTTTCACATTTTGTGTATTATTAATAATCAACGTTTTTGGGTTTAGATCGCGTTATTTATAAATGTGTCGTAACCCTCCACCACCCGACACGGCCAATCAGTAAAAAAAGTGTCACGTTGACAAAAGACAAATAGTTCACTGCTTTAGCCCACCGGTGTGTTGAAGAGTGAAACCACAACATTTACAATTTGAGTAGCACGACGATTCGCTGGTAATTGCATCCAGCATCATCGGGCAATTCCGCCAGAATGGCGAGGCTCTGCTCTGTCTCCCGTTCTTATATAGAGCAGCAGCAGGGTGACGTCATCATTAACTCATCAGGTGCAAAGATTTGAGGGGGGGGGGGGGTATTGTAATTATATACTAGATTAGTAATCAGGCAGTTGTTACGATTGGCCGTGTCGGGTGGTGGAGGGTTACGACACATTTATAAATAACGCGATCTAAACCCAAAAACGTTGATTATTAATAATATTGGTCGCGAAAGCCTACGTGTTTAACTGACTTTGTGTATTGTTGGGGGGGGGGGGGGTGCACGTCAGGGGCCGCACAAAAGGCCACCAGGGGCTCCTGGTGGACAATAATGAGTTTGGATTTTTAAATCCTTTATATTAAGTTCGCTTGCTTGCTTGCGTGCTTGCGTGCTTGCTTGCTTAGGACCGTGCAAATCTTTCAGTCGTTTTTAAACCCACTTCCCGTGATCCAATAGAGCTGACATTTTGCACACAGACTCGTTGTGCGTGACAATTAATTTTCGTAAAAAAATTTTCTCCAAATTTTTACACTTTTTAGGATTTTTTTAATATTTAATTACCAATTGCTTAATGCTGGCAGACAATCATCTGACCCATAGGTGGCAGCCATCTCAAGCCAGAGGACGAGAGGACTCTAGCCGGCACGCATATAAAGGATTTAGATTGAAAAACTTTGTTTTTACGGGTTAATTTTTTCTCCTTACCACTGCTGCTGCTCTGACTCCAGTCTGCCTGCTGTCTCCTACGCCCATGTTCTTGTGCTCAGGCCGTGTGCATCACAGGATTCATGGACGCTGTCAACTTGGAGATGCAGGGCTGCGCAAGTAAGTCAATCTGCGAAAGCTACAGGAAGGCCTACAGCTGCATGGATAATGCACCCATCGTGGGCTTCTGCTGCTGCTCGTCCAGAAACTGCAACTCGGACAAAAACACGTGCATCAGGGAGATCGGTGAGTGTGCCTGATGGAGGGGGGGGGGTTCTTAAACATCTCTCGTTCGTTGGCGTCAAATCCACGGCTAGTAATGTCCGAGGCATGAATAACCGGTAGCACGTGCTACGTAATCGCCTTCAGTTTCTACTGCCGCCGCTAACAACCCCTCCGTTGCCATTCTCAAAACTACAATCACCATATTCTTAGGTTTTTTTCGGTAAAGTCACGTAGGTAAAACATTCAAATTAATAAAAGTAAAATAAAATAAAAATCACGACGTTTCGGAGGCAACAAAAGCTTCCGTCTTTTTTTTTACTTGATACAGCTGTCGGGCTGTGACGGTTCGATGATCACGTGCCATCACCATCACCACCACCATCATCAATCACCACTGGTGAAACCACCAATATTAAGTGCCAACATCTTCATCACCGCCACTGCTATCGGTATCTTCATGATCAACGTGCAACAACGAATGCCATCATCAACATATGTTCTTCATAATCATCACCACCACCACCACCGTCTCCCTACTTTGAACACCACTTCCACCATCCCCTACCACTACCGTCTCCCCCACGGTAACACCAACGACAAAGATCCCCCGTATAGCCTTAACGCACAGTTGGGGCAAGTGCTGTTAGCGAGCACCCATGAAGGCCGAGACGGCACACGAGGGGGTGGGTGGCCAGCACCACACACACCCGCCTTTGTCTCTCCAGTGGCGATTTTTTTTTTTACACACCACCGCACCAGGTACTCATTTAAAGATGAGTCGACCTAGGGGAGAGCCCCAGGACCGGTTCAAATAATCGCCACCGGTGTGTTGGCCGTGAGCGGGAATCGAACTAGCACACGCTTCCACGAAGATTTTCATCTTAGAGGTTGTCGCGTGGGTCTCGGTGTCTGCCGTGCAAGTCACTGACTGCTGTGTTCATTCCGTGGGCTCAAGCGCGTCTCTCTCTCGCCCACGCCGAGAGAGACGCGCTGCGCCACCTGATGTTGGCGCTAACGAGGCACGGCTCTGTGTTTTTTTCCACAGCCAACCGGTGCCGCAACGGGGCTGGTGGTCTTGGCGGCGGCAGCAGCTGGACTCTGGCCCTGCCTCTCGTGACACTTTCGGGGTTCCTGCTGCGCTGATTAGGCTGGGCAAGGGACCTCGACTCCACACCCTCCCCTCCCCACCCAGCCCCTCCCTGCATAGACGGACACAATCATCTCCCGTGGGCTGGTGTAACCAGGAGGTTCCTACCAGTATAACCGTGGGGCCTGTGTCACCTGCACCTAGGCCCTTATGACCTCAACGCCCTCTATACTGTAGTGTGAGTTGGGGGCTCTTGTAAAACACGATTATAATTACAAAAAAATTCAAATCTAGGACTACAGACGATTTCTTAGCGAAATTGAGTATTTGAATAAGTGTTATGGTGGTCGTATAACCCCCTGGCCAACATTGCACAGGGGAGGTCTTCGTTGAGCAGTGTCGATTGCGAAGGGTTGTAAATTATGGTGTCGCCCGTCATAATGGGTTCATATCACATCTTTGATTAACACGGTCGGCTATGTACGGTGCGAAAGAAGTTCAACGTACGTGCTGTAGCTACTCGAAATGTTAGAAATTATTCGATTGCAATGTATTTTTTAAAAATCAAACCATGAGTCTGGATGATTGCAATTCTGCCTGCTTGAGAGATAATACATCTACCATCTATTACAAAGCAAAATGCAATGGAATCTGGAATGTGAATATTTGAATGCAATTAAAGGTACTAAATCAATGCGCCGATTTCTTTATATCAGTGTGTCTTTAACGTAAAAAAAAAATCCCAGTTAATGTTACTAACATAGCGGTGGTGGATATGCACGCCTGTAACCCAGGAGGCCGTGGGTTCGATCCCGACATTGACACCTGCTGCATATGTAGAGTTTGTGGTGTCACTCTCCACGTGGTGGTGTGGATTTTTTTCCAGGTCCTCCGGTTTTTCCTCCACATTTATAATCAACACCACGCGATCGTGAGCCCCTTTGTTGAGCTCTTATTTGTGTTAAATTTCGATTTGAAGCTTTCGTGACTGCAGGGATTCATATTGTTGGTTCTTTCGGTAAAATCACGTAGAAGGGAAATAATAAAATAATAAAAATAAAACATAATAGAATTAAATTCTCACGACGTTTCGTCCTAATGACGCTGTCTTTCCGACAGCTCTGTTTCTTCACCTGAGGACGGCTGCTTGCGTTGTGGCCGAATCGTCGTGAGAATTTTATTTTATGTTTTATTTTTATTATTTTATAATTTCCCCTCTCATTTGTGGCCAGGTCACTTTTGAAACAGAGCTATATATTCTTTGGGTCTTTCGGTAAAGTCACGTAGATAGGTTCAAAGAAAATAAAAAAAACACGACACCATTTGAACCTTCTTTGCCAGTAGCAAAATATGATAATTGGTTTTTGACCCTTTTATCTGGCAAAACAAAACTCACACCTTTTTACAAGGAGTCATGTTTGCATTGACCACAATATCTGCAGTCGGAATGCAAACAAAAAACACAACTCTGATAATGTATGCACTGTCCTTGAAATTGATTGGTCCACACCCGAGACAGCTTAGAGCCGAGTCTCACATGGTGTTGGACCAGATGACGCCTTTTAGCAGTGCATACCTGATCACTGATCTTAGCCGAGGCAGATAATCAAATTCAGTTCACATTCTTTGGTTCTTTCGGTAAAGTCACGTAGGTATAAAATTTAATAAATCACGACGTTTCGGGCGCAACACAAGCGTCCGTAATCAGGTGGGACAACCACAGCAAGAAACAATTGCTGAAGTGGGCAAAAGGGCTGCTGTAACAAGAGGCTATATAGGTAAGAGAGGGGGGTGGTGGGAGGAGCAAGGGAGGAGAGGCAGAGGGGGGGTGGGGTAGGGGGAGTGGAGCCCTGCAGAATGAAGAGCAGCTAGAAGGGATTAAAGGGCGAGCAACGACAAACTGTCGGGGGGGGGGGGGCGTACGCTTGACGCACCCCCCCCCCCTGAATCCTATAGAACGGCCGATATTTAATCCACGCAGAAACGATCAAGGATTAATCATATGAACGTGTTTAAGCAAACAGAGAAGTCCACACCGCCGAATGCATTAAAACACATTCCTGCGGAGGGAGCTGGTAGGAACGTCGGGTTGCTCGGTCAATGGCCAGGGTCAACGGCGGCGTGGTGTATTCCGCAAATATGCCCGACTGTGAGGGCGGGCACAAGCCGGCGTGAGTCGGTTAAACGTTGAGTTTTATAAGGGCACCACGGGGTGACCAGCCCCTCCCCACCCAGCCTCACCCCTCCCACCCCCCACCCAGCCCCTCTCTGCACGATGGACGGACGGACACAATAATCCCCTGTGGGCTGGTGTAATCAGGAGGTTCCTACCAGTATAATTAAGTTGCTTACCCCCCCACCCCCCGTTTCCTATGCGTACGCAACTCCCATACGCAAGCGTACGCATTTGGGTTAACCCCCCCCCCTCGCCCCTCCATGCGTACGCACTAAATGGATGGCCCCTAACGTGGATCGATCGATCTACGTGGACGTCCAGAATCAACACCTCCCTCGTTCGAGCAGGCGAACATCGCACCTCTCCCTTGGCCGGCCGATGTGCGCATCTCATCCATAAATGACAAATAATTGAAGGCGCCAGCAGCAAAAGAAGCTGTTGTGGCAATTCAACCTGAACTATGGACCACGTAATAAAAAAAAACCCAGAGACAACATCGAGACACACACCGATAATATATTTGCATTGTCCTTGAAACTGATTGGTCCACACCAGAGACGGCTTTCTTTTGAGCCTCGTCTCAATTGGTGCTATGAGAGCGTGCTTTTTGTTCGCACGTTGACCACAACTATTGTGGTTAACGCACACGTGATTCCTCGTAAAAAGGTTTCAGTTTTGTTGCCAGAAAAAAGGGGCAACACAAGCAATTGAACTATAAAGAGCAGTCACGAGCCCCGCCTGCGAAAAGTTGGCAGGACTCTCCGGTGAAAAAAAAGTTTCATGATTTTCAGTGAAGCTTTCTTGCGTAAAAACATGTAATAATTATTATTATAATAATAGCAAATACAGTCAATGATGACACTGGTCAACAACAAAAAACACATTTTTTTCTGACCTGGACTTTTGCAGCTGTTTTAGACTAATTTCAGGGTGCTGATTCCAAATCTCAGATTTGCTCTATCACATCTCATTTTTATGCTATCGGCATACCCCATTTTCATTGAATTTACCCGAAATTAACTCTGTCACTTATGATTGCAAGTTGTTGCGAGTCAGTGACTGCTTTAGTGTTAAAATATGGTGCTGTATTTTTAGGATAGTGTGTTTATAATATCATTTTATGTAGATATCCACATTTACTTAATATTTTTCTTCTACAGTTTTCATTGAAAATGCAATATTTGATATCTCAAAAACCTGATGCGATAGCCAAAAACTGATGCCAGATTTGGAATCAGCTCCCCAAAATTACATTAAAACCGTTAGAATTCCCTATGCCAGAAAAAAGTGTGTTGATCAGTGTAATACAAATAATAACCCTCACGCAATCAGAGTCCGTTACATGCGCACGAAAAAAAAAAACCTCGCACACAAAATTGTGATCAGAATTTTTCAACGCCATACGCAAGCGCGCGCTCCCCTACCCAACAACCCCTGCATGTGCACCTCTGATCAGCACGGTTCAGGCTACGTCCGGTGGAGACAGGACGACCCAGGAGGTTCGAGGTTGATCCACAGAGAAGGAGGCGAGGCAGCGGCCTGCGTCGAATCCACCAGCCTCGCTCCCAAGCTCTGCGGTCCTTTATATATGAAGCTGTTTTCGGCCAATCAATGCACCTCCGACGTTGAGAGGATTTGGCCGCTATGACATTTCCACGTGGTAAGGTCACTTCGTTGGGCTATCACTTGTGACCACGTCGCTTCTAACAAAAATAGATTTCTATCTCATTGGGCCTTACCTGGCAAAATAAAAATGTGTTATAGTTCCGATTTAAAGCTTTCGTGACTGCAGGGATTCATCTTCTTGGTTCTTTCATTATATTATATTATTTTATTATGTTTTATTTTTATTATTTTATTACTTCCCTTCTACGTGACTTTACTGAAAGAACCAAGAAGGTGTTATAGTTCATCACACTTGGCTTGCGTGTGGGTGGAGACTGAGAGCGGCGTTCGGGGATGCAACACTCCATCCTATGCAGATGGGACAGATAAGAGTCCACGCTTTAGTGCACTGCCCTATCTTGGCAGGCCATGGGATGGAGCCGTCTCCGCGTTGTCGCACGACTGGACATCTCTGTTGCTAAGGTTGGCGATCGAAATTCGACAAGATGTGTACATTGTGACGCTTCATCCGAGTTCATATCTCTGACAAACAAATCCTCGCGAGAGACGTGATTTCGGGATACCCATGGGATGGCCTTGCGTTTACATCAGAGATCGTGGATTGTGCTCCCATTAACGGACCGGGCGTGATAAATGATGATTGTGTAACATCGCGGGGGACAGGAATCGACATTCGTTGAGTAAATACGCTGTGGCCGAGGGGTTAAGACATGAGGAGGGCAAATTTTTGAACGCAAGAAAGTACGCAAATGTATCTACGGCCTCAGACTACACGGTGCAGTATTGTGTATTACCCTAACCCTTCGGCTAGGGGCCGTCCATAAATGACGTCACGCTATTTTGGACGATTTTTGACCCCCCCCCCCCTCATCGTCACACGGCGTCACGTAGAGTCAGACCCCCCCCCCTCAAATATGACGTCACCAAGCTCTGCCCCCCCCCCTCCCCCCCAAAATAAAAAAATGCTTCAAATCGCTTTAAACTATTGTCATTGTAGTGCGTATTTAATGTGGCGCTGCACTCTGATGTTGTGGGAGGAAACATTTATTAAAAGTCAACTTAATTAAGTAGAACGTGTTGTCTATATTTATTGAAAGTTGCGCTTTTTCATGTGACGTCACATTTCTCAACCCCCCCCCCCTCGTCACGCATCGTCACAAATGTCTGACCCCCCCCCCCCTAGGTGCGTGACGTCATTTATGGACGTATCTGTGCACTGAGTAATGCGGTATCTATTTCACCTTTACCATATTGTTTCGACAGACAATTGACCCGAGGTGTTGAATTCAGGTCCTCAAAGTTGTTCTGTGCTTAGATTTTTTTTGTAAAAGTTTACTAGTCTCTTTTACCAGTTAAGGTCCACTGAGCTGTTAATTACATCCTTTATATTAAGTTCGCTTGCTTGCTTACGACCGTGCTAATTTTTCGGTCGTTTTTTAACCCACTTCCCGTGATCCAATCGAGCTGACATTTTCCACACAGACTCGTTGTGCGTGACAATTAATGTTCGTGAAAATCTTTTCCCAAAATTTTACACTTTTTAGGACAAAAATATTATATTTAATTACCAATTGCTTAATGGTGCAATGCAATCATCTGACCCATAGGTGGCAGCCATCTCAAGCCAGAGGACGAGAGGACTCTAGCCGCCACGCATATAAAGGATTTATAGTGAAAAACTTTGTTTTTACGGGTTATACTTGTCTCTTTTTAAGAAGCGATATGGGCCACACAAATGATAGCCCAACGAAGTGGCCCATCGCGTGCAAATCCATCTCAGCCAAATACTCTAAACGCGCGATGTTGATTCTAAATGTGGAGGGGGGAAACCCGCAGGACCCGAAGAAAAATCCAAGCGACCACGTGGAGAGCAGGTGTCAATGTCGGGATCGAACCCACGAACCTCGTGTAAACCAGGCGAGGTAGTTAACGTCTCCTAGCCACCGTGACGTGGCCATTGCCAGCCTCCTGC